ACCTGGGGGCTGGAGCGTAGTCGATCGAACCAAAATCACTATTTGTCTGCTGAAGTGAGCACTGGAGCAACGGATGCTCTTAACTGCACCGCGCGCGCGTGGGGGCAAGTGGACTCGACCTAGCTGGCAGGGAGGGCAGTTAGGGGCGACCCAGGCCAGCAGAGGGGGGCAGTTAGGGGTGACCAGGCCAGCAGGGGAGGCAGTAAGAGGTGACCAGACCAGCAGAGGGAGCAGTTAGGGGTGACCAGGCCGGCAGAGGGGTGCAGTTGTGGGCGACCAGGCTAGCAGGGGGGACAGTTGGGGGCAATTAGGCTGGCAGGGGGAGCAGTGAGGGGCGAGTAGGCCGGCAAGGGGGGGCGCAGTTGGGGCAACCAGGCTGGCAGGAGGGGGCAGTTGGGGATGACCAGACCAGTAGCAGGGGTCAGTAAGGGATGACCGGGCCAGCAGGAGGGGCAGTTAAGGGTGATCAGGCCAGCATGCAGAGGCAGTGAGTGGTGATCAGGCCGGCGGGGGGGCAGTTAGGAGCGACCAGTCCAGCAGGCAGGTTAGTGATTAGGAGCCAGCAGTCCAGGATTGTGAGAGGGATGTCCGACTGCCAGTTTAGGACTGATCCCCAGGATCGTGCCTAAACGGTCAGTCAGACATCCCCCAAGGGGTCCTGGATTGGAGAGAGTGCAGGCTGAGCTGAGGGGACCCCCCCATCCCAGCGCACAAATTTCACACACTGGGCCTCTAGTCCTCCTATATAATAAAAGAGAAACATGTAAATTGACTGTCCCTCCACTATGCTCAACAGCCAATCAGGAGTGAGTATGCAAATTAACCTGGAAAAGGTGGCAGGTTAATTTGCATACACAGGTGTCAAGCGCACCGGAAGGCAACGGGAGCCATGGGCTCCCGGGATCTTCGTCGGCTGCCCCAAGCCACACCCGCGGGCTCCCGGGACCTTTCGCTGATGGAGAGCAGAAAGGGAGAGGAAGCGGAGAGCGGGAGGTTTAGAGGACTTGGCAGAGGAGGCTGCTGGACATAGAGCAGAGCGAAGAGAGAGGGCAGCTTGGAGGGCGTGGCTCCCTCTGTCAACCCAGCTTCCTCATCACAGCTGTGGAAACTGACAGCAGGGAGGAGGAAGTCCCACCCCCACAGAATCAGCCAGAATCAGCCGTTGGTCAGACAGCTCTCAGTGGCCTGACAGCCAGGACTCTCATTCACCTGCATCTCAGACCATGACAGTAGAGAGGTGGGACTATGTCTAAAGAACAACTGTTGACACAAGGTAGCTCTGCAGCCAAAAGATGCCAGCGTTATCCACAGAAAATATCTGAAGAGCAACTGGCATCTTATCTTGAAAGAAGGCGGCACCTGCGACAGAATGCAGTGTCTTCTCAGCAAAAATGGAGTACATGAGGATGCAATTCTCGAACATAGTTGTGGTGGAATGACTATTCGATGTGAATTTTGCCTATCACTAAATTTCTCTGATGAAAAACCATCCGATGGGAAATTTACTTGATGTTGTAGCAAAGGGGAAGTCTGTCCAAATGATATACATTTTCCAGATTACCTGGCATATTTAAAAAGATTAATGACAAACGAAGATTCTGACAAGTAAAGATTTCATGGAAAATATTCGTTCCATAAATAGTTCTCTTGCTTTTGCTTCCATGGGTGCAAACATTGCATCGCCATCAGGATATGGGCCATACTGTTTTAGAATACACGGACAAGTTTATCACCGTACTGGAACTTTACATCCTTCGGATGGTGTTTCTCAGAAGCTTGCTCAACTCTATATTTTGGACACACTCAAAGCTACAAGTAAAAGATTAGCAATGCCATAAAACCAGGGCTGCTCAGAAAGACTCATGATCAACATCAACAACCTCATGCATGAAATCAATGAATTAACAAAATCGTACAAGATGCTACATGAGGTAGAAAAGGAAGCCCAATCTGAAGCAGCAGCAAAAGGTACTGCTCACACAGAAGTAACAATGGCAATTAAATACAATCGTAACGGTGACCCAGGTAGATATAATTCTCCCCGTGTAACCGAGGTTGCTGT